AGTAAGTTATATAGGCTAATGCACAGAGCTTATGTTTCAAATTGGGTGTTGGGGGATGGGATGGGCATGATAGCTGATTCTGGCCTTACAGCTGGTGGAATGATGCCAAATAGTAATCTGTTTATCAGTTCACTCATATTGCATCCCATTCAGATTGAAATAGAGGTAGTTAAATTATATTCTAGTTTTGAGAAGCTGATTCAAAGTTGAAGTAAAATTTAACAGTATCTTTAATTAAGGTAGCATGGTCCATAGGGGTTAAGCGAATTGAATTGTAAATGCTGTAATTGCAGATATTCTCTTCTGAATAATATTTGTTTTTCTAGTCTCAGAGTAGGCATCACAATGGTTGGTGCAGGAGGAACCGACGATGTTGACTCAAGCATAAGGGCACAGCTGGAAGATGAGGTGATACAGGAAGCTCTCACATCAGGCACAGACCTAAGGCAGTACTCTCAGTCTGTTGAAAAGGACCTCAGACAGGTAAATGACCTTATTTTGTGGAGGATATGGGACAACAGTGCTGTGCAAAATAAATTTGTTTTGGTTCCAGTTTTATATTTCTTATGTATTAAAAATTAATGTTTTTATGTCCATTAAATTTGGTTATTATCGTATATCTAGAAAATTATTTTTATTAAAATAAGAGTTTGTTTTGATTTTTGTGCTGATGAACAGAGTTCATGGTAACAAATGTAGAAAATTTTTGAATGAGAATTCACAAAACCAATTGTTCTCCAAAATTACATGAATCACTATTTTATTTATATATATTCATACCTTTCTACATTTTGTAGTCATATTTTTGTGTATCACCTTTATATACTGTGTATTATCTTAGCACATTGTTAATGATCCATTGCAAGTTGTTAAGATGATGAAAATAATTGTTGGGACACTAGTAATGATAATAAATGAGTAGCAGGTTTGATTATTATGTGTGTTGTAATGGTAATGATGATATGTTTTTTCTCAATTTCCATTTCTGCCCAATCTCTTTCTTCCTTATTACTTCCCCTTTTATCACTCTATTTTCTGTTACTTCTTCCCAATTTGTTCTGTTCTTTCTAATCCATTGTAAATCCCTGCAGGTTTTCCTTTGATATTGATTTTAAAAGCAAGTACATTCCTAATTTTCCCAACAGCTGGAGAACTTAAGTATCCAAGATTATATTGACAAAGCACAAAATATAGCTGCGCTCCATCATCAGATAACAGAATGTGACTCTATACTGGAAGTAAGTCATTTGATGATCTTTTAAAACAAAGTTATTACTTGAATTAGGTATTCAGAAAGTTCTTTTAAGTATAGGTTCAGAGTGAATATCTAATGTTGTTATACTATATGGTTATTTCATATATATTATGTAAGATTGTATTTTCAGTCCACCACAATAGGTGTATATATATTTTTTTTGTATGAAAAGTCACTCTCAGATGTTTATTTCACATGCTACATTCTACCAACAGAATATGCAGGGAATGCTAGAAGGTTTTCTGACCCATTTGTCAACAATTAGTCAAGAAATCCAGTCTTTGCAAGAACAATCAGCTTCCATTAATGTCCAGCTTACAAACAGGAAGCAGGTTCATTCTGAAGTATCTGCATTCATTGATCAGTTGATGGTCCCTGAGGTGATGATACAGTAAGTGGACTCTTGAGGATGGTATTTATGAATTAGAATTTTTTTTTTCTTTTAGCATTAGATTTTGTATATTATTACAATAAAAAATATTATAATTTATTGAATATAGGTATATTTCTGTGTGTGTGTGTGTGTGCATGTGTTTGTATTTTTTAAGAAAATGTAGCTACCAGTTTGAAGATGTCAAGTGTCTATAGCCTGTAGTGTAAGTGTACTTTTTTCAGTCACATCTTGAACACTCCTGTGACTGATGAGCACTTTATGGAACAACTGAAGGCACTGAATCAGAAGAGCAAATTTATTAAGGAACAAAACTTTAGAGGTAACATATGGTACAATTGCCTGAGTCACACAAGTATTTTATCAGCAACAGGTTGGCAAATTTCCCACTGCCCTCAATCTCTCACTTGGAATAATCCTCTTCATGTAGCAACTTTGTTTGAGGTTGTATACAGGGGTATGGATCATTTGGATTAGTGAATGGGGCATAGCAAGAGAGTCTACAGTCTGCTAGTTGATACTTAAATGTGTCTGCAATTTTGATAATTTCTATTTCAATTAATACAAGACTTTATTTTATATCCTAATATTTATTGTGTTTATTATTTCTATACATAATTTAATTTGCAAGTAGCTTTAACATTGTTATTGTTAACAAATGGAGTGTGATGGCAGAGTTAAGGATCTCCTTATCATGTTTGCTGATGGAAATTTAGCACACTAAGCAGCAGTTCTCCTTGCCCATGTTACCAACAAGCAGGGAAATAAACAGCATATAGGATGGGGGTAACTTCAAAAGTTGGGTGATATTCACAAACTTGTTGTTGAAAAAAAGAATGTTTGTGTGACCTCAGCTTCAGTCTTGTGGTTTATTTTATATTGTTGATCTGCAGTCATATAATGTTACAAAATATTGTGTATAATTTTGGCATGTAAATGATATTTTGTGACACAAGCAATTAACAGTAGTTAAAAATTCAGGTATTGTTTGAATTCTTCAACTTTATTTGTACTGATAAAAATTTGTCCTTAATTTTATTTTCAGATGCTCATTCATGTCAAGATGTACAAGATATTGTTGATAAACTAACAGTCAAAGCAGTAAGCAAGATTCGAGAGTATTTGCTGCAGAAGGTGTACCAGTTTCGCAAACCTTTGTCTAACTACCAGATACCTCAGAATGCTATGATCAAACACAAGTGAGGAAAAGGTGTATCTAGTTTATAATGACATTTTTCCTTTTTATTGTAGAAGTAGGATTTTTTTTAGTCACAGTCATCTTTGTTGAAAATCACTTGCTTCGAATATAATAATCCTTTGCATCTAGCTGTTAAAGCATACTGGGTCTTGACAGTTTGTGTAGTTTTGTTCTCCATGGTGCACTAAATGATGCAGAAATGTCACGTGTCTTGCATCATCATGTAGAGACACAACCTTCAAAGTTGGCTGAAAATATATTTTTTCATACTCTTTTAAATAAAGTCTACGGGACCAAGGATGGACAACAAACAGTAGCTTAAATCATGGAACTAGGACAAACAACTGGTTATGTATAGCAAGCCTGGATTTTGCCCAACTTGGTAGTTTATCCTAGGTGTGCAGTGGGTTGAGACTATGAAAACACTTGTAGGTTTGTTTGTAAGATAAGGAATGGCATAACTGTACTAGATATATGTAAATAATTTGTTTGCCACTTGTTTATATTTTCTTATTGCACAAGTTCCGTCTTTTTACATTTTTTTACCTTCTTAACAGGTTCTTCTTTGAGTTTCTTCTCCTGCATGCAAGAACAATAGCTGCAGAAATTCATGATGAGTATGTTGAAACAATGAGTAAAGTGTATAGCTCATACTTCCAGTCATATACAAAGCAGCTATGGAAGTTGCAGGTAGGCTAATAACTTACATGATATTGAATATATATATTTTTATGCCTATTTATGTTATTAGTGGAAAAACATTTAAAGTTTTAAATGAAAGTGTATAAGATATTTACCTAGAGTTTTTATTTTATTTTACAGTATGAGGAAGGAGTGACTCGTGATGACCTTATGGGTGTGGAGGATTCACGTGCAAACAGTTTTTTTACAAAGAGTTTAAAGAGTCGTGGTACAGTTTTCACTCTGGGAACTAGAGACTCGGTACTTTCTCCAACAGGGCTTACACAGGACATTATTGTGCCACACACCGCTAGCAAGGGTGAAGCAAAGGTGAGATGTTATTGACAAATATATCAGATTTAGACATGAAGTGATGGAATATCAGTTATTGAGCATTATGAAGTTTATAAAAAAAGAAACCAGATATAAAACTATGGATAGTTTTAACATATATTGGTGATGGTACTGTTGGCAGAAAGTTGTGCTAGAGTTAGATAGTACTGAAAGTTTTATTTACCTATTTCATCTGTTTTTCAGTATCCTTTTGAAGTACTCTTCAGAAGTCAGCAATATGTCTTAATGGATAATGGGTGCCGGGAATACATTTTCCTCACAGAGTTCTTCATGGTGCGAGATAGTGATGCTCAAAAACTTTTCTTAACTGTCATGGGCAAGACACTACAACATGTCCAGGTGAGCCTTTAAGTTTTATTATTTTATATTCATTATTATTCTCTCAAATTAAACTTTCTCAGATGACTATTTACTTTATGAGCAATTGATAATTTGTGTTACACGTCTGATTCTTGCTCTAACTATTTTAGAATGCACATATCCATTTTGAAGAAAGGAAATGGTTTCTGTTGTAACCATGCCTTTGCTTAGATAGTTTGATTGGATAATGTGTCCAATTACAAAAATGTATGTAATGAAAATGAGTTCTTAGGTTAACTATAAAATAATCAACTCCATCAATTTTTTAAAAGATATTGTAGTATCATGAGTAAATGAAAATCTTTCACCTAAGGAATATTCTTTTTGCAGTGATCTAGTGACTAAGTGCAAATGCCTTTTACAATTTTTTGTGGGAAAGGTATTATGGTTTAGAATTTGCTCTGTCATTAATACTCAAAGACATTGCTGTAATTACCAATATTTATTTTTAACAGAAAGAAGTATGTGGAGTAGTAATGGGCTGCTATGACTCAATAGCGTTATATCTGTGTGTCCATTTGATACATCAGTACCGCCTTCTGTGTCATAAGCGAGCTGTGCCAGCATTGGATAATCACTGGGAACAGTTACTTCACATGATATGGCCAAGGTGGGAATTATAGAAGTTTAAGAAATAATTTAAGCCTGACGTTAATTTGGTTTTGTTGATATTGGATAGTGAAGGAAGATAGAGTATTTTGATATATGTACAGTATGCAGGATATTTTAATAGCATTATGCTATAAATAACTATCTTTTAGAAGTGCTACCATACCATGTTCAACTCTTTTAAATCCTTGAATCTTAGTTGGTGAAGTGCAGAATGAAATTGCATTGATCTTTTATTTTAAGATTGCTCATGAACTTTGGCTTCTGTAATGTTATTATATTCTGACCAGAGTTGCCAAAGAGTTTCAAACAAAATCACTTGGAAACTATGTTACATAAAATTTTGTGTAAATAATGACACAAAAAACATGTTTACCAGGTTTGAATATGTTGTGAAGACAAATATCCAAAGTATCCAGGAATGTGATCCCTCCAAAATGCCATCACTAGATATGAGGCCACATTATGTAAGTATGAAGTTTGTCGACCAATATTAAAAATTATTTTCTGTTTTTATGTTTATGTACTTCCTGTTTCTTCTGTTATAGGGCAAGGCAGCCATACTAGAAAAAAAATAGAAATTAGATTGCTAACATAATATAAGGTATTAAATTACATGTAAGGAATTTATCTATCTATCTATCTATCTATATTTTAAATAGCCCATATAAAAGTTTAGCAAGGCATTGATGAAATAGGGATGGTAAAGACCTATAATAGCATGGAACCTCCATTCCTTGAAAGTTATGTTGCATGTTTCAGGTTTCAGTATAATTGAAAATACTGTTGAAAAATACATTAATGAATAAAAGAAATTTCCACTGACAGCTCTAGTTACATTTCTACATAATATTTGATATAACACCTGGGATAATGTTAAATCTCACAAGGCTACACCTATATTTCTACTGAGAATCCTTACTAACCCTTGATTCTTTCAGATAACCCGAAGATATGCAGAGTTTAGTGGAGCTGTTATGGTATTACATGAGAAGTTTCCTCTGGAAGGTGTTGATACCCTCATGCTACAGCTTCAGGATGAAGTAGAAAAGGTCATTCTGAAGATGGCAGCAGTGTTTCATCATCGTAAAGACCAGCTGATTTTCCTGATTAATAATTATGATATGATGCTATCAGTGTTGTCTGTAAGTTTCATTTGATTTTTAAGGTGAATTAACCAATGTATATAACCTAAGAGATTTAGTTTTCTTTTTTTTTCTTGATATACTGGTGATATCTAGATAATGTATAAAATAGAACCTTGTATGGAAAGGATTAAGTGTAAATTTTTAAACTGCCTGTCTTTACTTGAGCTGCATTCTTAGCCTTGAAAGCACTGGAAAAAATGGCATTTAGTTTATAACTAAAATTTAAATAAAATTGCTTCAGTGTACATAGTTCTGTTAGTTATTTGTTTATTCATTTATATACTTGTAATTAATACTAAAGTTTAGAACTAATGTATCCCAGGAAAAGACCCGAGAGGACAGTCGTGAGTGTGAGCGCCTGAAGGAGCTGTTGGGTCAGCGTACAGGAGAGTACATAGAGGAAGTCCTTGCTCCACATTTTGGGGGCATGTTGACTTTTGTAAGGGAGACAGATCACCTTATTGCCAACAATAACATTGATGCCTTAAAAGACTATGAAAGTGAGTATCTTACTCTAAAATGATCTTATTTTGTATTATTTGCCAATATCATGAGGAATACAAAATTAGGAAAAACAACAAATATTATACTTCTACTGGAAGTATTATTCTTTTGATAATGATAATGTTATTTAAACAGTCTTTATAATACATTTTATATTCCAGTTTAATTTACAATGTTACAAGTCATTTTTTTGCTTTAAGAACTATTTCTTGAGTATTTGCAAACTTTTACTGGATTTTTAGGAATATTACCAAGAGATTTCATAATTACTGTATTTCATTATTAGTCTCAGACTGATGTTAAGATTAAGTTATGGCTTTTGATTCAGGAAAAAGAAAAAGGACATGAAAAATTATTTGGATAAAAAAGAAATTCCGTACATTAATATGTGTCTTCTTGTGTGTATCTTTTATGTTTTTACATGATTTTCTCTTTTCCAGAAAAAGTAGTGCCACTTGTCAGGTCCTTTTCATCTACATGGCGAAAATCAGTGGAACGACTGAATAATGAAGTCATGCAGTGTTTCACAAATTTCCGTACTGGGACTGTTGTGCTGCAGCGAGCACTGGAGACTCTTATTACTGCTCATCATACTTTCAATAGAATCCTTGCACATCAAGCATTCCAGCACTTGAATATTAAAGGTGACATTGTAAATTCTCACCACTTGATTGTAGAAGCAAAGAAATATAAGCCTACATTTTAGGCTATGAGCAAATATTGTAAACATGGTGTGACAGACAACATAGAGACATGTAATACTTTTACCACTTTTCTGTGTTCCTTCTTTCAAGAATTCATAAAGTTTAAATGCAAGTAAGGTTGTTCCTGACTCAGTGCATTGTCATACTTGTGCATACTCTAAGTCAAACAACTGACAATCATTTTGGTCATGTAATACCCACATACTTTTTTTCTTAATAGCAGACCCTATCACGGGGTTCTGTGGTAAGTCTGCATTTGTAAAAAGCAAAGTGTATATGTTAACCCACAAAAAAGCAGATTTTCCCAAGCAATGACATTGTGATCACCTAAATAAACGGTTGACATGATAATCTCAATTGGATGGTGTGTTTGTAAATATTAAATTTTTAGTCATCTAGCTTTAGCATTTCTTGGAGGATAAAGAAATATTTATGAAATGGGCTTGTAAAATAAGATTCTAAAAATGACATTCCAAATTATACTGAGAAATATTATATTTATTATTACTGCATATCATTATCCCGAATATTCCTAACCCACTGATGCCAGAATGGCAAAAATATGTCATGTCCCCTTTTTTATTTTTTAATATGGCTCTATAAGTGCTCTATCATCAAGAGGTCAGTCACTAGTCCTACCCATCTCAACTGTTTACCCATTTTCTTGATTTTTGGAAAGATTTGTTTTAACATTTTATTACTACTAGTATTATTACTGACACTATGATAATAATAATAACCATATCAAGATTAATTAGAAAAAATATACATTTCTCTGGAAAACTCAGGGTCACACAGGCTTCTTGGTGACTAAGCCTTTGTAGAATCATGTGCAAACTAAGCTCATGAAAGAAAACCAATATCAACATATATAGGGTAACATTGGGTTAAGAAATAATTTTATCAGTCGAGTATTTATAATACAATTGTTAATACTTGAATAAACTATATATTGATCAATATATTCTGATCTCTGTATTAATTACCAAAATATCATCTGAAAAAAAGAAAGAAAGAAAAAGTCATGTCAAAGTGTTGGCAGCCCTTGTTTATTTTGGTCAACATTTACATATCTTCAGTTAACCAGTGGTAAGATTTTTTCTCTCTAAAAAGAAAAAAAAATGCAAATCTTACACATTTGCCTATAAATATCCAGGATATAATCTGAAATATTGTTTCAATTTTTCTTCTTCCCTCTTGCATTAAGATGCTGATATTTACCAACTTCTTCCTAGCCAAATATATTTTGTGCACCCATTGCCATTCTCTTTCATTACTTATTGCTAATATGATACTTGTTTGAAAACAGATATCAGATCTTTTCCAGTTTCAATATTCATATAACACTATGAGTGTCTATCATCTGCATTGAGTGCATAGTGTAGCGTTACTCCCAGCGTGAATCCACCTTTAAACCTACCTTTACAGGGCTGTATTTGCTCAGTGACCACAGCCAGGGATAAACACAAGAGAATGACTTCAGCTCACACAACTTTGAACAAGCTTAACCATGCATAGATAATGGTTCATCATAGCGTGATTAGATGTCATCACCATAAATGGGTCATGAGAAATAAATGAAAACAAATTTTAATTGAATCACAAAAACTGTTGCTCTACTATGACTTTACTGAAGACCCTTTTGGATCTGAGTCTGTCATTTTGCCTATTCATGGCTAACATAGGCTCATCCTAATCAAAATGTATTTTGCTACCTCTCGCTATATACAAAATATGGATCTCACTGTAGAGGTAGCATGTAGGTAGCATCAGCTGGGTATACAAAATATTATGGATTCTTTATCTATTTCTCCAGGGCATGGTTTCATCATACAGCTTTACAAATTGTACACTTTTTTAGTATTTGTTGGCTATGGAACATAGATGTTCAAGACAGATAATAGACTATTACACTAAAATCATGTAAATCTGGCAACTATTCTCAGCACATCAGGGTTTATTAGCCATGATGATGTTTTCTCAATATGATGATGATGTGCATTATTTTTTGTCAAAAGGTTTTGGGATACTTTCACAAATAATAACTGAATGGTCATCAATCAAAAATATGTCAATTAATAAATAAAGTTGGTTGAACTGATTATGAAGTACTGAAGAGCCAGTGATTAATTTGTCTAATCACTTTAAGTCTGTAGTTCTTTAGGCATTACTATGAAGGATGGTCTTGTATAAGAACTGTATCAAACCTTAATTAGAAACTTACCTATATAATGACAAAATAGATAATCATTGGCAGCATTAAAGACTTCCAAGGTGCTCTGGAACCAAGTTAAAACAACTATATACTGAACTGAATTAATCACTGTTAATAAGTGAAGTGCAATACATGGGTATATAAAATAATAGCCTCTACAATGGGGAACTATTCCTGCAAATGTATAATCTATGAAAAATGAATGATGTCCACAGAAACTTCATGAAAAAAATAATTAAATTCTATGATAAAAATTTATCTAAACACCCCTCCTTAAGAAAATAAATATGCAGGTATTCCACACTTTGCTGTATACACATTTGATATTTTTTTCTCTATAAAACCTGTCAATCAAAAACATTCCTGTTACTGACATTTGTCACTAATACAGGATTTATCCACATGGTTTCAAAACTTAAAATCATTTATCTCTCATAAACAAGACCATTATTTACTGAATTTAAAAGTTACATAAAAAAGTTTCTCTATCATATAGAAATTTTCTCTACTTTATCTACTTTTGTCAAGAAGTATTTGTTTAAAATATTAAGGAGACATTGTCAAGAAGTGGGTATGTCAAAGTCTATGTTAATATAAATACTTTCATATTCAGAGAAACACTTAATGATTTTCCTGGAAATCATTAGAAATACACAAATTACTAATCTTTTATAATTTTTCAAAGTAGTGTTACGCTCTTTAGGTCATTGTTCTTTGAATATGCAATTAATGCTGTAGCTTATAGTTTTGGACATCTACAGAAATAAAACTTTTAGCTAACATTCACTTCCTTTCTAATTATTTTCTCAAATCTCTGTGAGAAAGATTTTCTTTTAATTTATAGGCAAACAGAAAGGATAACCAATTTAATTGTTCTTTGAATATGCACTTAATGCTGTATTTTATACTACAGAGAAGGAAAATATTTAAAAAAATAAATGCTGCATATCATAAAAAAGATAATAAAACATGTCTTGCAAATTGCAAAATTCACATATAATATGACAAATATACACCTTGGTCTTGGTTCAACACACATAATAAACATACATGTTAAGTTCAGCTATAGCATCCTAAATATCAAATCAAAGTTGTATGGATAATAATAAAAAAAATGGTAGACCAGAAAAAAAGGTTCTTGACTATAATATACATCAAAATAATAAATAATAATAATAATAAAAAAAAAAATATTCTTTATCAAATCTTTCCAAGAATCTACATACAAGGACTATTTAATTTTTTTTAAATACAGAACAGTATATATTTCATCAGATTTAAGGAATTGCTTGTGTTTAATAATATCTAAAATATTAAAATTGTGCTTAGTAGTATGAATTTGGAAGTACCCTCTCCATAACCAAACAATGTACAACCAAAACAGCAATCCATAAAGTCAAGCAAATTTAAAGCTTGCATGTGTTATAAAAAGAGTATTGACAAATAGCAGGGCCTAGAATTGTTAATAAGTACCCTTTTCATTATACAAAATTGGATGTTATCACTCAAATATGTTCTACTGATAATTTCTAAAGCCTGGCAAAAAGTGTTAATGATACTCTACTAAAGATGTAAAATCAATCATTACAACAAAATCTATCTATTACAACAAAGCCACCTAAAATATGTAAGTAACCTATTGAATATCAATACTGAATTAACTAAATGATAAGACAGTCAAACCAATTTCAATATTTTATCCAGTAAAGAAATAGTCTAATGCATCTCAAAAAACATTTAGCAGAAAATGCAAATTGGGAATAACAAGTCAAACCTAAATGCACTAAAGTCATATGGGCCATCGTTATAATCTCATGTCTTCTATCTTACTATCTATTTTTCAACTATACCATCCTATTATTTTTGAGAAATTAAATCTGATTTACATGATGTTTATTATCATTTTCTCTATCCTGCTTTATCACTTTTACTTTGATATAAAATAATCTGATACCAAAAAACAAAACTGAATTATCAGTAATGCCTATATTCTTACTGTAAGAGCATGTAAGAGTTCTTTTCTCTATGGACACAAATCACAATATTTTAACAATTTAACAATTCCAACCAAAGGCCAAGGTCAAAGTAAAAATATTAAGATGCTAGCTTACAAAACAAATTTAATTTATTCACACAGACTGTTGACTCAAGAGACCTTACTTGGTATCTGTAACAAGTGTGAGTCCAGACTGCAACTCAACATTCTAAAAAATGTATCAGCAGCATCACAGGCAATTTACACATACTCAAACAATATCAACGATCCATTAACATTCATTACATACAATCACTAACTGGGAATGGACCATCTTCAGGGATATGTACCCTACTTCCAATTTGGTGTATCAATAAAACTGTACACAATGAAGGACATTCCTCTGACATTTTGTTTCAAACTCATGCAGAAGCTCGTCGATGTCATTGTCCAGATCTTCTGTCCCTGAGAGCTGTAAAAAGAGAAAGATAATAATAATCATTGATTCATACAACTTCATACAAAACATTCCATAACAAATATAAGATTACATAATACATACAGTTAAGTCACAAAAGATTATCAACAATTGGAGGCAATCCATGTTTTACACCTATTACTGCCCTTACATACTGTTTAACCCAATGACTGCAAATGTCAAATACATGCTATGTTAACTGCAATTTTAGTATAAATGGCTCTACAAGTACTTGAGTCACCAAGCAGTCAATTATTAGTTCTACCTATTACACCTGTTTACACCTTTTCTTGATTTTTGGAAAAAAAATATTTTTTTATATTCTGTTATTTCTGTTATTTGTATTTTAAAAACACTATAATAATCATGCTGTCCAAAATAATAACATCATTATCAACATTAATAACTTCAGAATAAAACACATTTCCCTGCCCTGAAGAAGCAATATAGTGAAAAATCCTTCTGCATATTTATTTGTTTTATTGTTCTCTTTACTGTTTACATGCATTGATCAACATGATCCTACAAATGCAAAATTCAAGGATGGGGATATCAGGTGCAGTCACTAAGCCTACTAACTGACTACTTGGGCAAGTTGAGCACTTGTGGAGGCATCTGTGTGCAATTT